GAAATCATGGTTGTAGATACGTTATGTTATCATGTATTTAATTTCCAAACAGTAAAAGGGGTTTTAAAAATATTATTTTAAAAAAATCACCAGGTCTCATAAGGTTGAGAACAACTAATTTACAGAGTTATTGGTGGACATTTATAATAATCGTCTCCAATTATTTACTATTATAAAGAATGCTGAGATGGCCGGGACCAGTTTGGCTCAATGGATAGAGCGTCGGCTTGGGGACTGAAAGGTCCCAGGTTCGATTCCGGTCAAGGGCATGTACCTTGGTTGTGGGCATATCCCCAGTAGGGGGTGTGCAAGAGGCAGCTGATCGATGACTCTCTCTCATTGATGTTTCTAACTCTCTATCTCTCCCTTCCTCTCTGTACAAAATCAATAAAATATATTTTTTAAAAAAAATGAAAGTAATTAAAAAAAAAAAAAAAGAATGCTGAGATGAATGTTCTTGTATATACAACTGTTCACATTTTGTTCCTTAGGATATGTATTTTCCTAGAACTAAAACTGGTATAGAGAGCATTAGGCAAATGCTGACTAGCCATACTTTAACCTCTCTCTAAATACATATCTTATTAAATCTGTTCCCGTCAATCTTCCACTTTTTTATAAACTAGGAGTAGAAAACTTTTCTATAACTTAGCAGCAGGGAAAGGATTTTTTTATCATCGTTCAAAATCCAAGGGAATAAAAGGTTAATAAAGTTGAGTCATAAATAAAGCCAACAAACAAACAAAAAAACTCTTTCTTGGCAAAAAAAAAACACCAGAAGCAAAGTAAAAATACTAACAAGTTGAAAATATCTGCAAATATATCATAAAGGGCTAAAATCCCTAATATTACAAAGAACTTTTAAAAATTGAGAAGGGCCCTGGCCAGTGTGGCTCTGATGGTTGGGCAATGTCCCGTGCTCTGAAAACTTGCAGGTTTGGTTCCCAGTCAAGGGCACATGCCCGGTTGCAGGGAAAAGGTTACGTATTTCCTTTTTTTCTATCAGACATTATTTCTTATCAAGGCATCACAAATGTGTTACGAGGAACCCATCTGCTTTTTAAAGAAATCCATCCAGCCCAGCCGGTGTGGCTCAGTGGTTGAGCATCAACCTATAAACCATGAGATCATGGTTGGATTCCTGGCCAGGGCTAATGCCCAGGTTGTAAGTTCAGTCCCCAGTAGGAGGCATGCAGGAAGTAGCCAATCAATGATTCTCTTTCATCATTGATGTTTCTATCTCTCTTTCCTTCTTCCTTGCTCTTTGAAAACAGTAAAAAATTTAAAAAATAAAAAATAAAAAAGATAAGCCATGACCGGTTTGGCTCAGTGAATAGAGCGTCGGCCTGTGGACCGAAAGGTCCCGGGTTCGATTCCAGTTGAGGGCATGTACCTTGGTTGCGGGCACATCCCCAGTAGGGGGTGTGCAAGAGGCAGCTGATCGATGATTCTCTCTCATCAATGTTTCTAACTCTCTATCCCTCTCTCTTCCTCTCTGTGAAAAATCAATAAAATATATTTTAAAACTTTTTTTGAAAAAATAAAATAAAAAAGATAAAATAAATCCATCTTCAGGTTAATCATACTATGTTTGGTCCATTTGATCTTAGTTTCCTTATAAGATCTAGGGTGATATATTTGTGTCATATGTTCAGTGGGCAATCAATAATAATTGATTTTACTTTGAGTTGATACTTATTCCTTTAGGATCAGATTCACAGGGCTTTGTTTAACTTCAAAGGGCTTATTTTTCCTCTTTGATCAACTTCTACTTCAGTTTGCTATTAATATTCACCTGAGACTTGTGCACACAGTACTTACTGCTAAAGGAACCCAAACGGTCCATTCTTTAATTGGCAAAGACTTGTTTTGATCTTCCTCAGTGCAGTGTCCCTTCAAGAAGATTTCAGAACTGGCCAACACTCATCAAGCTTGACAACCCCCTATGAGCAAACAAAGTTGCACTTGGATCAGGAAATAATTCAAAGGGGCAAGATAAAGAGAAATTAATGCAATGTACTCAACTCTATTACAAACCGAGTTCTGTTAACATCAAGCAAATATTTTATCTATAGGAGCCTGTTTCCCCAATAAAATAATTTCTGCCTCCCAGAGGTGTTGTAAGGATTAACTATCAAAATCCATATAAATGATGTACCATGGTGCCCAGCCTATAGTAAGCCCTCTACAAAAGCCACACAGTCCTAATAGACAGCTGTGGGTTTTCTCTGCCCACATCACTCCTCTCCTTAGCCCCCTTCCTTTGAAAACTGACTCTCAGACATTTCATGTGGTTCAGTGGGGTTGCCACTTAAAATATGTTATTCTCTACCCTCCCGCTAGCTAAAGCAACCATATCTCCTCGTAGAGAAATCTGTATCTAAGACATTCAAAAACAGAAGGCAGCTGAAACTCAAACTTTCATTAGTCAAATATTTGGTCCATGAGCTCTGGCTGTTGAGATCCCCATCTCCAAAGGTGGCCCAACCATGTTAGTATTTTTTTTTTTCTTGTTTCTCTAACTTTCCAATACTTTAATTTGAATTCTGTTGCTAGAATCCTATCTATTAGAACAGTGGTCGGCAAACTCATTAGTCAACAGAGCCAAATATCAACAGTACGACGACTGACATTTCTTTTGAGAGCCAAATTTTTAAAACTTAAAACTATATAGTAGGTAGGTACATTGTTATTAACTTAATTAGGGTACTTCTAAGCTGGCCTTTGCTAAAAACTCAAGGGGCCAAAGAGCCGCATGTGTATTAGAACATACATTTGTTCAGTTAGTTACTCTTTAAATATTCAATAGGTATGCCCAATGTACAGTTTCTTCCTAAAGGCAAAATGAAATCATATTTCACACTAAGCCAAGAAAATAGCCCAAACGGTGTAGCTCACTGGTTGAGCGTGGACCTATGCACCAAGATGTCACCAGTTCGATTCCCAGTCAGGGCACATGCTCAGGTTTCAGGCTCGATCCCCAGAATGGGCAGTGCAGGAGGCAGCCTAATGATGTTTCTTGCTCATCTCACTCAAAAATGTTCCTTCCTCTCTCTCTAAAATCAGTAAAATAATTTTTTTTTAGTCACTGTGGAGTAAAAGTAACAAAAACAAAAACCCCACATCCCTCCTTCTATACTCTCATCGTTGTTACCTCTCTCTTTTCTGGTGTTTTTCACATTCTAATTTGTGAGGATTATTTCTGCCTGCATATTTACCCAAATTTTTAGACTAAATAAAAGCAGGGACTACATCCCATACAAATTTGTATGCTTTAAAAGTACCAAGCACACAGAAAGAACCCAGTAAACACAAATGTAATAGACAAATGTCTTTTTGTCTTTCAAGAAAAATGAATTTGGCAATGGGTATTATGCACTTGATAATACAACAATGACCAACATTTACTGAACTTCTCTCATATGCCAGATATTGTGGTACCACAGTATGTGGATTATTTCTTTGAACCTTCTGAGGCATGATGCTGTTTCAAAGGAAAGGAAGCCCTGAAAGATTGTCACTTGTACAATGCCTTACAGGTAGGAAACAGTGGTGCCATTTCAACAGAGGCTGAGAGAGAGAGGTTCAAGTTAAGGATGTATAAACAGTCTGATAAACACTCGATGTCATAAGCAACACTCCTATATAATAAAAGCCTACTATGCTAAGTGTCTGGTCATCTGTTCAACCAATCAAAACGTGATATGCTAATGATATGCTAAGCCTGCTCAACCACTCACTATGACATGCACCGACAACCAGGGGGCAGATGCTCCAACTGGTAGGTTAGCTTGCTGCTGGGGTCCAGCTGATCAGGACTGAACGAGATGGGCTGAACATGCCCTGGAGCCCTCCCTTGGTCCATCCCCAGCTGGCCAACTTCCCCAACCCCAATCATGCACCAATGAGGTCCCTCAGCCTTGCCTGCATCCTCTCGCAATCTGGGACCAGTTTTGGCCCGATCCCACAGGCCAGGCCAGGAGACCCCACTGGTGCACGAATTCGTGCACCAGGCCTCTAGTCTATAATAATAAAAGCATAATATGCTAATTAGACAGGATGTCCTTCCAGCAAAGCTGGGGCTGCTAGGGAAGCCAGACCTGGGTGCCAGAGGGAAGCCAATACCAGCAGCCAGAACAAGGACCTACTCTTGCATGAATTTCATGCATCGGGCCTCTAGTATTTCAATAAGCAGAATCTTCTTTCTTCTTCTCACGAGACATTTCTGACAGTAACACCCACGAAAGGATGAGTGCTAGCTCCAAATCAACATTTACCAAATTCAAACACATTACGGGGGAGGACGGAAGGCACGCAAACAGCAGCATTCAATGCGGGGCAGAGAGGACAGGTGCCGGCTGTGGAGTTTTGCAGACAAACTTCAAATCCTCCCTTCGTTCCTTATTAGCTGTAGGACCTTGGGCAAGTCATTTTACCGGAGCCTCAGTCAGCCTGAGCTGTAAATAAGGAAGCTTACGTGCCTACTGTAGGTGTAAAGCCTACGTGAAAACCCAATGGAAACGGGGGTAGGGGTGGGACACACAGAGGCTGTCCTTAGTTTGGGTGCACGCCGCTCTGCAGAGATAGGAATGCAGAGTCTGAGGCAGCGCGCAGGCACCCCAGGCTCGCCGAGGGGCGGGGCCTGAGGGCGGGGCCTGAGGGGCCATGCATGCCCCGCCCCGCCCTCCCAGACAGCGCGACGTGGCCGGCCGCCTCCCTCCCGCCCGCCCGCCCCCGTGCAGAGTCTTCCCGATCACCGGGGTCCACACCCTGATCCCGACCCCCCACCGCACCTCGCGATCCTCACCTCCTTTTCGTCCCCCTAGAGGGGCTCAAGCCCGCCGCCGCCGTCCCGCAGCGCGCCGCGCCTCACCGCGCCGTGCCCCCTCCTCCACGCCGAGGAGCAGCCAGCCACGTGCGCGCCCTGGGCTGCGCGCGCGCTCCCGAGCGGCGCAGGCGCGCGCTCGCCCCGCCCCCTCGCGCTCGCCGGCCCCGCCCCCTTCCCTCCGGGGCCTTCGCGCTGCACTGCGCGCCGTCGCCACCCTCTCGGCCGGCACCCGGGCCTCTCCGCGAGCCCGCTGCTGCCCTCTGGCAGAGGCCGGGGAGGACGCGGGGGAGCCGCCTGCCTGACTCTGAGTCCGACCGGTAATCACTTTTCCCGGGACGTGCGTTGCGGGTCGCCAGAGGCTCGCCGGGGCGAAGTGACTGATGATCGATCCCCTCCCGAGTGCCCTCCGTGAGGCGGGCCGGGCCGGGCCGGTACTGCCCTGATTTTTTGTGTGTTTTTAACATCCGCCTCTGGAATCCGGGTGTTGAGTGCTGCTCATGGATTTCCCAGGCTGAATGGTTTCAGGGTGTGCGGGGTACGTTTTATCCCGATGCTTCTGGACAGCCGACGTGATCTCCTTTGGAGAGAGCGAGCCCCTCTGTGGGCTGCAGAGGCCCGGACTGAGGCGCAATGATGAGAGGATGTGGTGGTCCACTCTGATGTCAATCTTGAGGGCTAGGTATGTCCTAACTCTTACTACTGCTAATAATTCTTCTATAACAGCTACCCTATGTCGAGATATGTATTGCATGCCCGGCATTGTACAAAGGAGGTTACAATGCATGGGCTCATTTAATCTTCCAAAAAACATCGTTGTGAGAGGCACTATTATTTTCCCCATTTTCCCGGTCATTTTACAGGTGAAGACATTTAGACTCCTGTTTATAAATAATTTGGGGTCGCACTGCTACATAGGGCTGGCCAAGGAGATGCAAACTGTGGTCTATCTTAACCTTGAGGCTGGTACATCTAGTTAGAAGTTTGTCTTTCATAAAGTTGCCTAACCTTTTTTAGAATTTATCTACATAGCTTATGAGGCTTTTTTATTCATTTTTCAGTATGTGAGAGACAAGTTCATTGTAAAAAAAAAAATCAGAAAATTCACGTGAGCAAAAAGAATGTGAAAAGCAGCTCTCGAATGTTAAACTGTTAACATTTTGCTATATACTTTGCAGACATTTTCCTGTGCACCAATAAATATAGAGTCGTTTTACATTTGTTGTATCCTGAAAACCTATTTATTCACTCAACAAATATTTAATGAGCAGACATTGTTCTGGGTGCTAGGAATTCAGCAGTGAACAAGATAAAGTCTGCCTCTTATAATAGTGGGGAAGGATGATAGTAAGCAATCCTGTATAATAAAAGCCTAATATGCTAAGTGTCTGGTCAACCATTCAACCCATCAAAGTGTAATATGCTAATAATATGCTAAGGCTGCTCAACCACTTACTATGACATACACTGACCACCAGGGGACAGATGTTCCCACCGATAGGTTAACTTGCTGCTGGGGTCTGGCTGGGGACTGAGTGAGACAAGCGGACACACCCTGGAGACCTCCCTGGGTCCCTCCTCAGTTGGCCAGCTTCCCACATTCCTCCCCAGCCCCCATCGTGCACTGGCGGGGTCCCATGGCCTGGCCTGGGCCTTCTCACAATCTGGGACTCCTTGGGGGATGTCGGAGAGCAGGCTAGCCCAAGGGACCCACTGGTGCACAAATTCATGCACCGGGCTTCTAGTAACAGAATATATTGCTAAATAAAGATAATGCCTAGTGATGTGTCAAGTTTTATGGGGGGGAAAAATCAGGATAAAGGGCTAGGAAGGATGTGGGGAATGCTCTTTTAGGTAGGATAGACAAAGAAGGTATCTTAAGGGAGGATCACATCAGTAGAAATCTGATCATTAAATGAGGGAGGCAGATATGTGGATTTCTAGAGGGAATCTATTTTAGGAGGAAAAAAAAGGCAATTGGCAGTGGCCCTAGGATAGGGGCTTGGTTGGCATGTTGGAGAAGAAGCAAGGAGACCCTATGACTGGAGCACACCATATTAGAGAAATAAGGTGAGGAACATAGGCAGAAGCCTTATCATGTATCATCTGACTTTGGATTTGGTTGGACTTTGGATTTTATTGGGACAAAAGAGAATACAATGGAAGGGTTGAGAGCCCAGGAGTAATCAGATTTGCTTTAAAAGGTTTTCTCTGGAAGCTGTGTGGAGAATAGATGGCAGAAACATTTAAAATGCCCTTTAAAGCATGAATTGCCCTTTTACACAGCAATTGTTCAACAGATGGTTTATTAACATTGGTGTTTCACCTACATCTTTATAACCACTGTCACATTCTCCTCAAAGAGGAGATAAGGTCAAATACTTAGGACTTACCTTCAGGTCTTTTTCATCTAAACTGACTGGCTAGGGCATATATCCAGATCTGGACATCATGGTTGTCAACAACCTGAATATGAGTTATTAATGTACAGTTGTGGAAAAATAGTCCCACATAATACTGGGATCTACTCATTAAAAAAACATTGCGTTTAAACACCTGAAAATTACCCTTCCTCTTCGGTTGATGTTAGGCCCTCATTAGGATTCTAAGCCCCCGTTTAGACATTGTGCTTAAGAAAGATATGGAGAAATGGAAATGCACAGTGTGAAGGATAGCACTGATAAAGAACAGAGATTTGGAAGAAAACAGAAGTTCTTTTTCAAATCTGTGTTTTGTAATAATCTGAGTGAAAATGACATACGGTATATGCGTTCAGAGCTCAGAGGAGAGGCCAGGACTAAAATTGTATAATTGTGTTAGAATTGTTTCTTTGGATATGTGTCTTCTTTAGCCAGAGCTTGAGGACAGACACTGTGTCTTTTCTTCTTTGTAACCTCAGTGCCCAGAAGTGCATCCTGGGTGAATATTTGTGAAATGAGCGAGTAAAGGCAAAGGTATGAATGAAGTCACTCAGGCAAAATGTATAAGGTAAACAGAGAAGATATCCAATCTTTACTTTCCCTGGAGGTTCAAGCACCTGAACATGGCTTACAAGTAGGGTGACTATAAGTTCCAAATTGCTCAGGACAGTCCTGGTTTACTCCTCCTCTTGTCCCCATATAATTAGTGGTATTGTCTCATTTCACTCTCGGAAGTGTCTCAGTTCCATAAATTATATGGTCACTGTTTGTAGAAGGCTCTTCACGGCCTAGTGTCTTCCTATTTCTGTGTCATCACTGTCCCATCTCATATTTTATTCTCCGGCCGGATGGAAGCCCCTCAGCTTTCTCTTATGCACTCCGTTCCTTCCAGGCTTCCTTTACCAAGGTACCTCCACTTCACCTTAAACATCACTTCCTCAGGAACGCCTCTCCTGGCCCCAAGTCTGAGTTAAGTAGAGCCTTTACAAGCTTCCAGTGCAGCTTGTATTTAACCTGGCATGGCAGAGAGAACTGTCTTGTTCCCCTCACTGAACGTGTATAAAGGAATCTGGAAAAAAAAAACAAAAAACACCACTGTCTATCCTTTTTAAGTTGAAATTTATTAATATTCAAGATTAGTTCATGTTGGGTAATATTGTGGAAAACTGAACTTTAGGACTTAGCACATTCTCCAAGCCATTTTACTCATAACTAATTTAGGAAATTGACTTTGAAACCAGGAAAATTGTACATACTGTCAGGCTCTGTGATGTGACTGCCATTGACCAATTCCAGAATATCCTAACAACTCTTTTTTTTTTTAATATTTTTTTTAATTGATTTTTTTTTTTTTTTTACAGAGAGGAAGGGAGAGGGGGAGAGAGTTAGAAACATCGATGAGAGAGGAACACCAATCAGCTGCCTCCTGCACACCTCCCTCTGGGGATATGCCCGCAAACAAGGTAATGCCCCTGACCAGAATAGAACCTGGGATCCCCCCAGTCCACAGGCCGACACTATCCACTGAACCAAACCAATCAGGGCCAACAACTCTTCAACTACTAAGTTTCAGTTGATTGGAATAAAAAGTGTACTTTCTGAACTTCCCTCCCTCCCTATGGAAATGATTCTCTACCATTTTTAATACTTACTATGGCCAGAGTGCTGAAAGACTTTATAAACTTTATTTCATCTAATGTTCTTCCTATAAACTGAGGTGGCTTTCTGTGTTTTATTTGTTGTTGTTGCTAATCCTCACTGGTTTTTAGAGAGAGTGGAAGGGAGGGAAGAGGGGGGGAAAGAAAGAAAGAGAGAGACATCTATCCTTTGTCTCCCGCACTCTTAGACCTTGTCTGGGGTATTCCAGGTTAGGTCCATTAAAATCAAATTGACCCAGGTCATGGGGAAGCCCGTGTCTCCACAAGATTGCCTTACAGGAAAAGACCCTTGAGTGAGCATATTTGTCCTAGGAGACATAGGTTGAAAGGACAGCTGACTCTCAAGGGAGAAGTTTCTTTGGAAATCGCCCTGACACCCTGAGGCTGGGTTCCCTGGGCCTGCTGGGAGAATAGGTATTGCTTAGGGGCTAGGCTTGGCTCTTTGGAGGTAGGCCCCGCCCTTCAGGGTTGGGTTCGGCTCTTTGGGGCTAGAAAAGAAAAAGCAGATCTGTCCAAGTGTAACTAATAAACTTCCTCTGACTAGTTAAAAAGGAAGTTAGCAGCAATCAAGATTTACATAATGCTATGATCATCACACAGAGTTTTCATGAATTTAAACCTATACTACCCCATTTCTTCTGCCGCTTCCTATCTCACTGACTGCTTTTTTTTTTTTTAACATATCACGTTTAAAAAAAAAAAAAACTTCCCCCCCAATTTTTTAAATATATTTTATTGATTTTCTTCAGAGAGGAAAAGAGAGGGATTGAAAGAAGTATTGATGAAAGAGAAACATCGACCAGCTGTCTACTGCACACCCCCTACTGGGGATGTGGCCACAACCAATGTACATGCCCTTGACCGGAACCGAACCTGGGACCTTTCAGTCCGCAGACCGACACTCTATCCACTGAGCCAAATTGATTTCGGCTAAAAAATTTTTTAAAAAAATATATTTTAATTGATTTTATAGAGGAAGGGAGAGAGAGAGAGATAGAAATATCAATGATGCAAGAGAATGACTGATCGGCTGCCTCCTGCATGCTCCGCACTGGGGACCTAGCCCACAACCCAGGCATGTGCCCCTGACCGGAACCGAACCAAGGAACCTTCAGTCAGCAGGTCAGCTGTCTATACACTGAACCAAACCGGTTAGGGCTCACTGACTGCTTTTGACCTACAAAAAGTGCAGGATATCAGTGTCATGATTCACAGGCTTTGGGTAGAATCCAAAAAGTCAGGAAAACTAGGAATGTATTGTTGCTATGTGACTTCTGTTTATCGGAAAACTTTAAAATGCCTACACAGCAACCTAGCTACATACTTTTTAGCTTACTATATAGGGCCTCCACCTTTTGACTATCAAACAGGCTCCGAAAATATTTTGCATCATTCGATGACAGGCAGTTTATATTCTTTGCAACCAACAAGTGCCTAATGTTTTAACTATGGTTTGTAAGGAACCTGACACAGTTTAATATAATTTAAAAAGCATGACTTTAAAACTTTCCTTAATCTGAATCCTGTCACCAGCTTTTACTACCTTTAAGAATTAAAGCAAGTTATTAAAAAAAAAAAAAGAATTAAAGCAAGTTATTATCTGT